CCCCCGCCCGAAGGCAGTCCTTTCGCGCCCGGTCATCCAGGCGCGCTTATCACCACCTCGCAGTCCCTGAACCGGCCGAGGCTCCTGCTCCCTCCCGGGGGCAGATTCCAGTTCCCTCAGCACCCGGCCCAGGTACACACCTCGCAGTGGGGAGGGCAGCTGGCATCCTCCTGCGCCCACCCCCATTCCTATGCTGCCCTAACCCCCGGACGGCGGCTGGGACTGGGTTTGGAGATTGGGCCTGGAAAGAGGTGATTAAGTTAAAATGAGGCTGTGAAGGGTGGGCCTTCTTCCAATCTGACTGGTGTCCTCAGAAGAGGAAATCTGGACACGCAGGAACACACCAGGCACACATGCTCGCACAGAGAAATACCAAGCGAGGGCACAGGGAGAAGGCAGCCATCTGCAAGCCAAGGAGAGGTCCAGCGCCTGGATCTCAGGCTTCCCTCTGCCCACTCCTCCTCCCCTCTGCCTCTTGCCTTCCTGCTCCGTGGGGCTCGGCACCCTTTCCCCCTGCACTGCTGCTCTCCAGGCCGGCCTCGTTCACCCCTCACGGCTGGTCGCAGGACCGCCTCTGGGCTCCTGACTCCCAAACCCGTATTTCCAGCTTCCGCTTTGGGGTCTGCACTCCCCAGAGGCGAGTCCTCCAAATCCATCCACTGCTCTGCAGGCTGCCAGGCCTCAGCGGGTCTCCTGAGATGAGCCCTCTAGGCTGTTCCCAACACTGTCACCAGAGCAGGGGCTCTCAGCACCAAGCCCAGGATGTCCTTTACCTCCTGAAGATCATTCCGTGCTCCCAGTACCTCTGTATAAAATCTAAATCATTTCCACGGCCTCCGGGGCTCTGAACACACTGATTCTGCTTCCTCTTCTCACTTTAAAGCTTTCAATAGTGAGCAAACTTTTTTCAGTCTCTACAGCATGCCCCGTGTGAGGACCCCCTGCCTGGCCCCTCTATGACGCTGCAAATGCCTCCTAGGACCCTCTTCTCCCAAGCCCCCTCCTCATATGGCTGCATCCCTCTCATCTTCCGTGTCCTGATCTCCAGGTCACTTCCACCTCCCACCAGCCTGGCTTTGGCAAGAGGGCTATGGGCTCCCCAGGCACCCGGCACGGCCCCCACACCGCCCCCCTCATAGCACCCTGGGAAGCCTACTGTCTGCTTCCTTAGGTCTCTAACCAAGATAACTCCAGCTTAGATCCGGCCCAACCTTGTTCCCCCCAGTAGCATAATTTGCCCTGCTTTCGTGCTAAGCATGTTTTAAATTGCATTTTATGTAATTTTTAAGGAAATACATGTTTAATGCCAGACCCTTGAAAAACAAAAGCAGAAAGGAAAAAACTGCAAAGTTCCACCAACTGCTGTTAATACGGGGGTCCGTCCTTGCAGGCTTTAATTAGCATCTGCTCAGCCGTGGAGCTGTTTAATTCTGTCCTACAGACATGGATCACACTTGTACCTCTCAGGTTCACAGCCCATTTCCTCATAACAGTGAACATTTTTTAGTGTCAGATAATGTTCTTCATAATTTTGAAAGCTTGTCTGGTCCACCACTGTTCGGATTTGTGTAACGGGGCTGCCTGGATCTGCAGTGGGTGCATTTAAAAGCAGGGCCTCCCTGGGCTGGGTAGTTAGGTTTAGGTTGTTTCCAGTTTTTGACTATTACAAACAACACATTGATAACTACCTTTGAATTCGCCAATTTATACTCTGCTCTGGTGACTGTTGTACAACAGTCTCAAGACAGAATTGGTAGTTAAATTTTGGGTCTACATTTTTTGTTAATACCTCACCCAAGGATATTTTTTCCATTGGATTTTAGAGAACATGGAAGGGAGAAATGGAAGGGGGGAGAGAGAGACAGACACATCGGTGTCTGGGGCAGGGTTGGAACCTGCAACCCAGTTACGTGCCCTCAACCAGGAATCGAACGTGCCCTCAACCAGGAATCGAACCTACAACCCTTTGGTTTGCGGGCCTACGCTCTAACCACTGAACAACACTGGCCAGGGCTGGGTCTACATGTTTTAACTTGGGATCCAAATTGCCAAATTCCCCTCACGAAAGCCTTCCACTCCCGTCAGCAGGATATGAGAGCTCTTATTTCGACACACCCTTGAAAAGAATAACAATATGCATTTGGTATCAGCATTCTTTTTTTTCAATCGTTGCCAATTCGTCTGGAAAACACACACACACACACATGATTTTCATTTGCATGTCTTTGATTACCAGTGAGGTTGGACATTTCTCTATGTTTGTTTTTCTATTTATATTTCATTTTTTGTGCGTTGCCTGTTCATGCCATTTGCCTAGTTTTCAAATAAGGTGTTTTTTTCCACGATGTCTAGCGCTCTTAAATATGATGGATTAAAAACCATTTGTTGCCCCGGCCGGTTTGTCTCAGTGGTTAGAGCATCAGCCTGCAGACTGAAGGGTCTCGAGTTCGATTCCAGTCAAGGGCAGGTACCCTCGGTTGCAGGCTCCATCCCTGGCCCCAGACCAGGGCTTGTGTGGCAGGCAACCAGTCGATGTGTCTCTCTCACATCAATGTTTCTCTCTCTCTCACTCGCTCCCTTTTACTCTCTCTGAAAAGCAATGGAAAAAATATCCTTGGTGAGGATTTAAAAAAACCACAAAAGACCATTTGTCTTTTCTAATATAAAAGCTGCAAATGTTTTTACCAGTTTCTTATTCATGTATTACGTTTGTGGTTTTAACAAAATATTTGCCCCTTTAATTTTTCTCTGTGATGTTAAAATAAGCTTCTTTAAATGTCCTTCCCGGAGTCACCCTCCAAATCACGCACCCATTAGTCACTTGATTTACAAGTGGAGATGGACAAATGCCTTAGAGGAGGCTCAGTGGGGAGACAGAAGATGCAGCTCATGCCTCAGGTCTGGAAGCAGCTGGACACCATAAGCCAGAGACAGACTCCTGAGAGCTTTCCAAGCATCCCTCAGCACCTCCAGCCCTGGGGCTGAGCTCAACTAAGTACAGACAGAAGCTACAGCCCACCAGTACAGGGGATCGTCATGCATACACAAGTTCACTGTCCCTTTGGATTCACTCAACCAGTCCAGGATGACAGGGGGCTGCTCAGAGTGGTTAGGTGACCTACCAGCAGCCTGGCACCACCAAGCCAGTAAATGGGGGGCCCAGGACTGGAACCCAGGTATTCTGGCCCCAGGAGAAAGGACCCGCATCACTGGAAGGAACAACAGCTGGGTCTAGACTACAGCCTGGAACGGGGTCTCTCCTACTAGCATAGAAGTCGCAGGGCCTGCACACCTGCCCAGGACCAGGGATCTGGAAAGATCACCCAGGTCTTACTTCCTCAGGCCCCCTGTCCTAGAAAAGGCCTCAGTAGCAATGTCTTCTTGGTCCTTCTTGGAGGCAGATGCTAATCCTGTGTTCTCCTCTGTAAGGATGACTCAACTGTCCCCCATTCCCTAAACAGGGCCACCCCAGCCTGAGCCCCTGCTGAGGGGGCCCACCCTACCCCCACCCCAAGGAAAACCTTGTCCTGGTACCTCTCTCCCATATGCACCTTACACCAACAAAAGGTTCTTCAAACAATTGGTCACACAAAAGAAAACTCGGAGGCTGAACATCAAAAAGCAGGGCTCCCCTCCCTCCCCCTGTTCTTGGAGCTGTCAGGGGACATCAAGTGGCAATTGCCCACGCTCAACCTTTTGCAAAGTATTTTACAACTTGTTTTCTTTTCTCTTTGTTTTATTTTCTCTGCACAAATGGAAAAATGCATCAGGCAAAGAAGCTCACATCTGGATTCCCGGGCTCCACACAGAGATGTCATCCAACTCCCAACCTGTCCCCAGCCCCTTTCTCAGAGAGACACCTTAATCCCTTGCGCCTTCCTGTTTATCTCCTGCCTCTCTTGGAGGCAAAAATATTGGGTATTAGTTTCATCATCAGATTTCAAGGCGGAAAGGAAAGGGCAGCTTTGTGAGAACAGAGAGGTCAGCCCTGGGGAGAAGGGCGGGGGATAGGGGAGCACAACTTCCAAGGAGCCTGCAAGGCACCACGTCCTGTCGGGGGTCCCCCAGATACCCAGAGAGAACTGGCCTGGTCTAGACCCCAAGCTCTATGCCCCCCTCAACTGTCATGTGGGGA